TTTTCCCTCACTGATGGACCATGACCTGAGAGGTGAAATAAGCCCTATCCTCTTCCTCGTGTTGGTTTTGATCCTTATTTTATTACGGCAGCAGAAAGCAAAAATGAGACAGCATGCATCTATGCAAAAGAAAATGTTCTCGAAAATAGGCCTAACTGTGTTAGAGTATTTGCATAAAATGGTCCTGAGGTCCCTGTTGATGGTCCCATGAGTCTATCTACAGCCATAGATGTGGGCTATGTTCTTTGCTTCATCCAATTCATTTCCTTATCCACTATCCGCTTGTGGGATTGTCAGACTGTGACACAGACTGATCGAGGCCTCCATGTTTCTGCTGCTCAGCCCACAGCTGTTAAATGAGATTTTAACTCTCAGATAAGTCATGATAGCTGCTGTATCCAGTTGTTTGCTTGATTTCACGTGTTTCATATTCTCAGGCAACAAAGATGAACCAGTAGCTTATCAAAGGTTATATTCCACAGCAAATTCCTAAAACTTCTCTCTGGAGATTCAGAATCTTATTTTCCTTTACCATGAAGGAAGTTTGGGTTGCTATGATTAAAACTACTCTGATCCAAATCAGCTTAGGGAAACAAAGGGATGGTTTGGGTTCCATTTGAAGGTTATAGTCCATCATTGAAGGAAATCAGGGAAGGAACCCGAGCATGAACCTAAAGAGGAGACCAGGGTTCATGCTGCCAGCTGGCTGACTTGCAGGCTCATGCTTTGCTAATATATATATATATATATATATATATATATATATATATACATACATACATACATACATACATACATACATATATATATATATATATATGACCACTTGCCCAGGTAATGGTACCACCTACAGTGACCTGTCTTTCTATATCAATGAATAATTGCAAGACTCCCCCATAGATATGCCCATGTGCCAATCTTATAAAGAAAATTACTCCACCAAGACTTCTTTTCAGGACAATTCTAGACATGTGAAGTTGGCAATCAATGCTGCTAAAGGAGAAACCTTATTTTTCTCAACAAGTAGTCTAAGTGTCATGTCAACAATATGAAACATTTTATGTAAGACTGTGTAGACAACAATCACAGAAAGTCACTGAATCAATTGTTTGCAGAACTTTCTGAAATAGCAGGTGTGTGTATGACCTCACTCTTTTGCATTTACCCTAGCCTTTGTGTGATATGTGATATCAATATGAGAAGAGGTCACAGTTCCAGAGTATACATGAAGTTTGGCTCTTAAACTGTAGGATAAAACTGGGTGTGTAAGTTAAAAGAGTAGGGTATGGCAAAGCTTTCAGTAGGTTTTACTAGAACTGTCTGAGCTTCATGCAATAAATTACTGGTTACTTGATAGCATCGGAGGTGATGGACAGGGCAGGGTGGCGCACATCTCTGATCCCAGCACTTGAGAGGGAGAGGCAAGAGGATCAGGATGGCAAACAAACAAAAAATCATCACGGCCCTGAAGATTAAACAAGTGATTTGGAGTATCTATAATGAGATCTGCAAATGTAAATAACTGTCTTCCAGGAGTTGAAATGTGTTTACTTCAGCTTACATGTCTGTTTATGTTTAGATGTTCATAAAACATTTATCATTTGGAACTACTCAAAGAGTAAATAAAATCCTGGGGACTATCATTTTATGTATAAAAGAAATAATTACAAAGTAACAATGTTTGTAAAAAGTTTCACTGTGGTAACCTCATCCAACAATTGGTTGAGTAACACAAAGGAAATGTTGCTTTCCTCCTGCTTAATGGTGGATTGGGTAGAAATGTCTTCCCGACCTTGGAAGTTACTTAGTCTTTTACATGTGAATTATTTATTTATATTTTAATGTATGTTTTGCTGCTAAGAATAGAGGTTGGCCAAGCTAAGCTGTTTAATTATTATTATTTTTTTTCTAAACAAGATACTATAAGTCAAACACGAGCCTCCCATGCTTACGCCAAACCCATAACTCTTAAGAATGCACACCATTAACAAATGGGTCAAGCCCATCTTACAGTTAAGTGCTGTAGAATCTTCATTCAGTCAGGAAAACAATAATTAATAGACAATTGGAGTGTTCTGTAAGTTTCCTGTTCTTCATGAACAACGGGCCTTGCTTTGTGGTCTCAGCAGCCGGGAATAATTAAAATGGACCAAACTGTGAAATATAATGTAATGGGCCAAAATTATTATGCAGTCCCCAGCATAAGGATACTGCATGTGAGTTCCTATTAAATATACCAGTAGTCTGCCACACAGTCAAGGAGAATGTGAAAGGGCAAATGTGAATGACATTTCTATCAAATTGTAACTGTCGACCTGTCATATGTCCTTGGGGCCCTGCACTTTTTGCCTTTCAGACATGTGCCCTGCCTTGGAGGAAATCTTGAAAGTTGCAGTGGGTCTTTAGCCTTCGTAAACAATCGAGTCGCCCGTCAGCACGCACCTGTAATAGCTCTTAGTGTCTAAAGCTCAGACATGTGACATTTCACCATGTCATGAGCCCCAGCTCCCTCAGATTTATCAGTGCCCTGTCACCCTTCCTCCTGAGCCACACTCACACTCTTCCGGTTATGTGCCCCAAACCTCCCACTCCAGCCTTAGGAACACACCCGGCCTTCCCCTCCCGCCATCTTATTACACAGTCAAGGGCAGCAACGGCCTTTAACTCCCCAAAGCATTTCCAGAAACATTTTGCAAGAGTTGGTGATCCTGTCCTAAGGATGTCACCAAAGCCCGAGGGTAGACACAAATGCACCAGGGAGTGGGGAGTGGGACACATGGGGCATCTACAGTTACACACTAAGGAGCATTAATAGTTTACCAGGCTCTGAGGATGCTTGGCGTCACTGGTGGAGAAGGGACAGACTCTTATCCCGGAACTCCTGCACCAGACCCATCTTTATAGTGCTGGGTTTTTATGCACACAAGTGTTTGTAATCTTAGTATGCATCCCAACCAAATTTCAAAGAAAGTAGTCTTACTACATATCTTAAATTGTGTACCCTTTCATCAAGGAAGCTTTTGAAGCCCAGTGTAACTTTTTTAATCGCCTCTTTGGTAAGCCAATAGCTGACCACCTTTGGAGTACACTAGAATTACTGGAAAAATACTCATCCAGATACACTGTGTTGGGCCCCACATGCAAGCATCTGCAACAGTTTCCCCTGAAACTGCTTCTCAGGTTCTCCAGGCAGTGCTGGCCCACGAGCAGCTCTTTCAGATCCACTGCAGTGGACACACATTAATTACTTCAGGGTTCCTGCCAACCAAGGCATTCTGTAGGTTCTGTCAGAGCAGCTGGGTATTTCACATTAAGGAGTGTTCCAGGTTAAGTAGACCTTTATACATTTTTAGGTGTAAAAATAAGTTTCTCTAAGTCATACGCCCTATCAGGAAGGGAACTATCTTATTTGACTGCTTACCAAGAGTCCACTGATAGACAGAATCTCATAAAATAGCTATTAACGTACTCTATATCTCTAAAGCAACCTAATGGCCAACTTGAATCATTGATTTAAATAACAATGACATGCACTTTCCTTTGCAATGCAAAGCAGAGCTTAAGAGGCCTTGAGAACACTTTTGTCTGGTTTGTTCACAGGTTTCCTAAGTGAACAGAATCTACAACCTCATCATGAGCACCTTTCAAAGCACAAGCTTCCACTGCATACCTTTTTGTCTTGTGCCATCATGATTTTCCTTACAAAGTGATTTGTTTGACTAGCACACACACACACACACACACACACACACACACACACACACACACACACACCATGGTCAAAGTTTTATGCTCCTAAAAATCTAAAAGTTCCAGTTATAGTTATGTGTGAAGGTTTTGCCTTTCAGTTTTTTTTTTTACATATAAATGACTAATTTTAGTGAGAAATTGTTTCAGAATTTGCTCCTACATATCCATATATGTATATTTGTATGTTTACATATATGTGTATAGTGAAGAACTAAGTTTTGAGAGATTAGCATTGGCTTCCCTGCTATTTACCCTATTCGATACAGAGAGCTTCACTTTAAAGCTAAGTTTCTGCTATTGATAAATATCTCATATACTCTTGCCGTATGAGATAATATTTAGGAGGAAACTAAACCCCCATTCTACAGTAAAATTTCAGTAGCACTGAATCTGATATAAGCAGCTGTCAGAATGTTTCAATTTTAGAGCACAACAAAGGAATTGAGTAGTTTGTAGTGGTGAATGAGCACTATGGTGTTTTCCTGATTCTCATGATGCAACAGAAATCCAGCAGAATTGTTTCCACAAATGCGATGTAATTAACAACCTGGGAGCTAACAGAGATGGGTATAAAATTGAGATGTGCTCTTCAAGCATAGAATAATTAAGTCACTAATATACTGAACTTGTCTAATACAGATGTTCATGCCAAGGAATATTTTGAGCATTGTTCTGGATTTTATGTTATGAGTGTAGTGATGCTTACTTGGGTGTTTAGGTAATACATAATTATAATGTTGATTATGTTACTAAAATTATTTTTGTGAAACATGGGGGTAATAATTATTTTCTTTAAAACTTGTATTATTATTATTTTATCTAATTTGGAGAGCAGTTCTGTTCAGAGCCAATATGCACAGGTATGGTCCAGGTACTGCCTCTATACCAGAGATCCAAACAAAAGAGAAGAGGCTGTTCAGCATCATAATCTTATATGAACTGCACATATATATCTCCCAGTGAAAGTGTGTGTCATCAGAGAAGAGCTTTCTTAGAGTGGTTCTTTCACGCTACATCATGTGACTGCTCTCTCTGGATAGTAGGCAGCATGTGTGCTTTCTGTTATACAACCAGGGCTCTGTAATATGTAATTGAAAGTGGCACGGTGTCAACAGCTAACCAAACACTGTAATGCTGAGCGTACAGGTTCAGATCACAGGTGGGAAATGACAGGCTGTGTAGCTGTGTTTTTCCTGATGTCTCTGGTCAGCCTTTCCTTGTCGCAGCTCATGTTCTAATGACCCTTGCAGGATGAGGTGGCACAGCCACTGAACCTATCAGCTAAACCCAAGACCTCGGATGGCAAATCACCCACATCACCCACCTCTCCCCACATGCCAGCTCTGAGAATAAACAGTGGAGCGGGCCCCCTCAAAGCCTCTGCCCCGGCAACGTTAGCTAGTCCTTCAGGAAGAGTTAGCACAATAGGTAAGTCCTGTTTCTCTTGTTCTTGTTGACTTTCGGTGAATGGAATCGTCTAAGATGGCTCGTCACAGGAAGACTGCATGTGGCTTGAGCAAATGAGGGAGATGTCATTTGAGTTATTACCATACGGTCTGTTTTAATCATGCCAGTGAAATTTCTAACTTGGTCAAATTTCTATGCCCCTGACAATCTAAAAGTACTAGTTATAGTTATGTGTGAAACTTTGCCTTAGTTTATCTTTTCAAAGAGGCATAAATGTCTAATTGTTGTTAAAAATGGTTCTGGAATTTTCTTCTAAGTGACTTCTACATTGAGATTTCCCCCCCATTTTTGTGATGTGTACAGATACGTAATGAGGTATACATTCTGTTTGGGTCAACTTTCAACGGTGAACTATGAATTTTACTGTGTTCCATCCTGACTGAAGACTCTGGTTGCACACACAGGGACTGAGAACAGTAGTGCCTTTGGTTCTGCTGTAACTATAATTTCTTATGAGTTAACCAACACTATTATTTGTATTTTTCATGCATGAATTAAAACGTGCTCAGTTCAGCACACGTTCATTGATATGTTTATTACTTCTGTCTGATTAGGAAGCCTCTAGCACAGATTAGCTTTTATGTAGAACATGATTACTTTGGGAGAGGTTACAATCTAGGTCATAAATACTGAAGGCTACTCCAGAGCACACCCGTAATCCTGTAGTCAGAGACGAGAGTGTTATATTCTACTGAGAAGATACAAGATAGACTAAGTTACAAACAGCACTATTCAAACTAAACTTGCAAGAACAGATATATTCATAGGCATTCTAGGCTGTAAAAACAAGAGGAACAACTCAGGAAAATATGCATCCATGACATGCAAGGACTTGGCTAGAAAGCAGAATAACGTGGCAGAAAGTGGTGGAAGGAAAGACTGGAAATGCATGGATGACATGGGATGGAACACTCCCATATGAGATGTTGACTTTTTCCTTCACAGACCAGTGTGATCTGAACTCTAAGTATTAACAGCTGAACAATGTTGTTTAGTGGAAGCACTGTTATCATATGTGGTAAGAGTGTGGTCCATGAGATGAAAGTAAGCTAAGCAGATTCTGGAGGGATGGAGGCATATCAAAGGAGATCTGACAAAGTCATCTGCATCAGAGTGAGACAGAGGAGCCTAGGAGTTTCAATTATCTATGGACAAAAAGTCAGAATTGGAACGAAGACATAAAAGTGAAATTTAGTATATGTTGAATTCCAAGAACAAGGCAGCATTTAGTTAGAAGTGCTCAAGAGGAAACTGCAACTGTTTGATAAGTAAAAGCAAAGCTTGGAAGTTAGATACAGAGATTAATACTTGACTAGAGCATTTCACCAGAAACGAGTGTGTCTGGTAAAAAGAACCACAATTGATGATTTTATTAGCTAATGGTTGTATAAAAACCAACCCCAAAACTGCCGTTCCCTGTTCATTTCCTCAGTTCACAAGGGGAAAACTCAGCCAGCTATTGCTGCCTTAGGCTATTTCAAATAATTAGGGGGAAGATGCTAGCCACAGAATCAGGCCCCCTTGGATCTAACTGCAGGTAGGCAACTCATTTGCCTCCCTGGTAGATGGAAACCTCAGTTTTTGGTTACACACACTTTCCCCATAGCTAGCTCCTTATCCACATGGCAGAAAAACTCCAGTGAGTGAACCCAAAGAGAAGAGAAAGCCCCAATGTTTATGGCCCACCAAATCCCCATCTGGTCTGTCCTACTGCTCTGAAACCCATTTTACAAAAAGAGAATTAACCTCCAACTTCTGAAGGGACATGCTTTAAATCTACCTCACACTCTTCCAGGTAGAAAACAGCTAAATGAGACTTCCAAAACTCAGGAAGAATAAATGCCATTTATATAAGTGGTGTGGGAAAGCCTTCACTCAGTACAGTAACTACTAGAAGCACAAGGAAGTCACGCTGAAAAGAAGGCCTATATATGTTAAGCATTGTGGGAAATCCTCCAATAAGTGAGTAGAGTCTCACAACAAAAAAATCCTGTGAGCAGTTTGAGATAGGTTTCATTTCTTCCAGTTATCTTTGAACTCATAAGAGAACTTATATTGTAGAGAAACCCTATGCATTTAAATCATCACAGTCACCCAATAGACAAGTACAACCATAGGGTGACACACGGTTGAGGTTATTTGGTGGTCACGTTCTACAGAGGAGCAGAAGAACATGAAGCAAACAAGTCTTAGGCTTTAGCTGGAGCTCACAGATGGGCAGACTCTGAAATTCAAGTGGAGTGATTTCACCAGGTGCCCCATTGCAGCAGTTTGGAGAATGGAACAGTCCAGTGAATGTCCAAGTTGGTGATGTGGACTCATGTTGTAAGTGTGATATTGAGAAGTTACTGGGTGAGTAGAGTAGACGTAGGTTTTAAAATGGAGATGGATAGGGAGGTGGGTAGTCAGACAGACAGACAGACAGACAGATGATAGGTGATGGGAGATGTCATTCTGTATATGTTTCTCATACTGGTTAATAAATAAAGCACTGTTGGCCAATAGGAAAGGAAGATAGGAGGGACTAGGAGACAAGGAGGAGAGAGGAAGTAGTAAGGAGGAGTCAAGATGGAGAGTCTGGAGAAAGCAGTATGCCGGCCGGCTCCCCGGTAAGAGAAATACATAGATCAGCAGAAATGGGTTAATAATTAAGACAGAGCTAGCTGATTAGAAACTAGCACCTGGCCAACAGCATAATATCAAATACAGAGTCTTAATGTGTTAATTGGGGCTGGTGCGGCGGCTGGACAAGGCAGGACAAGACCAGGCGGCGGGCGGAAAAACGGTACTCCTTACAGATAGGTAGACAGACAGGCAGATATTCCTCTCCAAAGGGGAAGATGAGAGAATCAGAGAGATGACCAACCTCGAGAGTGAGGTGACAGAACTCATAGCAAAGAGACCGGGCTGCTGGAATGAATTGACTCAGGAAAATGAGAAACTAGGTCTTTGATTCAAGACAGGAAGAAGCATAAACTTAGTTCTGATTCAGACAAATTGAAAACTAGACAGAGAGAAGAAGTATTTCCAAACACTTTAATTTTACATAGTAGAACTCAAGATGATTTGCTAGCAGGAACTCAGCCTAGGGCAGGGGACATTGAGATGAGGACCACTGAAAAAGGAAGCTTGGAATCTGCACGTTAAGTCTCACTGTTTCAGTTAGTTTTAACTTACTCTGCTCAGTGTCCTAAAGAACATGACACTAGATGTGTTTCTGTGTACTGAGTGTGTAAAAAAATATTTGATTTGGCAAAAAGAATTCACTTCCTTTAAAAAATGGAGTTCATGAATGTCACAGTGTTGACATAAGGCCTACTTTAAAAATATTACTCAAACTGATTTTTTGTATATGTATATATATATACATAATTTTATAAATAATCATATATGTATGTGTGTAGATAGTTTTATTTTAAAACCCCCAAAGACTAAGTATAACCAAGTAGTTAATAAAGGCAAGAATATATTTAGTGATGCTTATCATGGGGCTTTCTCTATTACAGTAATAAAACATCTCCTTCCCACCATGGTTCTTTCACCATATCTACAGCCCTCATATTTTCCAAGGGTTTGAGGCCACTACAATTTACTTTTCTCTTTTCAACAAATGTAGATGTTGAAAGCTGAAACTATAATGAGAAATAATGTAGTTGGATAAAAGCCGGGAGGATTAATGGTGTTGTAAAGGTCACCCTGAAAGAAAAATTAATGTGTTAGGCCATTAATAAACCATGGAAAACTGTGGACCAAAAGATAACTTTGAGTTATCATTAATGACACTCAGCTCTTTGCTATATATCTATTAGCTACACATACAGAAAGTGACTTTTTGAGGTTGGTGGCCAATATACAATAATGAGTATGTTCTACAAGTATACTTTTGATTGGTAGACACCTGATAGGCATCTACAAAGAAAACAGAGCTTTAGCACATACAGCCCAAAAGAACAGTAGACAATCTGAGACTTTTTGGGCAGATGTCACTGTCCCTGCATAGGCCCTTTCTACCCATGTTTCACATGTGTTTAGTTACATAAACATTCCTCAAAGTGTTCTGTATCCATTTCCTCACTGTGTCTGTTTAAACAACAGGCTGTTAGGCAGAGCGGACACCCATGCCCTCTAGCCCAGCAATTCCTACTTTGTAGGGAACTGGGGCAGATAGTTGCCTCTGCCAGCATCGGAGTAAGTTCTTTGGGTGCATAAACAGCAGTATTACTCTGGTTTTACTTCCTGCTTCAGTGACAAGAAGCCTTCCATATGCCAGGCACATGCTTTATGACTGAGGGTCACTCCTAGGTCCCTTTATTTTATTCCAAGAAAATAGTTGTGTGGTAACTGCCATAGTTAGGGCTTCTACTGCTGTGCAGAGACACCATGACCACAGCAACTCTCATAAGGGAAAAAACATTTACTTGAGGTGGCTTACAGTTCAGAGGTTCAGTCCATTATTGTCATGGAGGGACATGGCAGAGTGCAGGCAGACAGGATGCTGGAGGAGCTTGTCTCACAGGCAAGAGGAAGTGGTCTGTCTCATCAGTTGTGGCTTGAGCATATGGGAGACCTCAAAGCCCGCCTCCACAGTGACACACTTCCTCCAAACAAGGCCACACTTCCTGATAGTGCCAACCCCTTTGTCAGCCATTTTCTTTCAAGCCACCACAGTAGCCTAGCAGTTTATTTATCTGTACTCAGCTCCTTAGGGTAACAGTTGAGGTCCCTGAGTTGGCATTTTTTTTTTCTGGCTATGGTTGCTGCTCTGGCTAGATAACCTACCTTACAGGCTTATCTTTATCTTTCCTTTCACTCACATAAGTGAGTGTTAAATAGCTTCTGTGTGGGCCAGTGCAACAGCAGAGCCTGTTAGGGTGCTTGCTGCTAAGCCTGGAAACCAGAGTTCAAATTCTAGGCTGTACAGTGTAGAATGAGAGCCCTGACTCACACAAATTGTCATCTGC